AGTACCTCTCCACTAACCAAAAGCCAAAGCCTTAAGGTTCGACAAAGCAGGGGCCTCGAGACCCTGACCCAGAGCTGTGGCCACAGTGCTAGGTCAGCATTTGGATCAAGCCAGTGATTAAATATTTTGAATGTGACATTTTCACTGCTGCTCACCATTCAACTAGGGTGTTCACGCATCTGTCTATTCATCATTTATCGATACCTACTATGTGCTAGGCACTGTTAGTCACAATGCACAGGGAAAAAGAAAGGCTCTATAAGGTAGTTCATGTGGGACCCTCTACCCTGAAGCTGGCAAATAATTTAGTTAACCTTGCCCTAGTAGCCTGGAAACATTAGCAGCCAATGACTAATCCACACCCAGGCTTCTTTGGGAGGAAGGTCAGGGTTGATTACACTACACTGTTTGCCAACTGATGACAGACCAGACCTTGGCTCCACCTTTTAATAGCTTTCTGGTGTTTGGCGAGTTACTTTACCTTTCTATAATACATTTCAGGTTCCCCACCACTAAAGGGAAGAAAGTAACAGATCACTGGGTTATTATGAGGGTTAAAGGAAATAGTCCTTAAAAATCTTTATCACAGCCCTTGTCATAGGTTTTCAATAAGTGTTTGCCAATATTTGAATCATAAAGTATTAAAGGTGAAAAATATATTCACCAAATCAAATGTTTCCATTACTTTAATATATTAAAGAACAAAAAAGCTTAAGTCAACAGAGCAATTCCACCTTCCAGGGACAGTCACATGGAAAACCTATTCAAGGGATGGGGAAACTAGAGCATGAAAAATACAAAGAGAAAAGAAAGACGGCTTCGGTCATTTCACACACAGACCATCAGTTTAATGCTTCAGTAGATGCACTCACTCTACATGGTATTATGGTATTATTTACAGACGTATCCAAACAGTTCTAGTTGGACATATGTTAATGGTTTATCCAGCCAGTTGTCAAACCATTGTCAACCAGGTAATGGGTCCCTTTGCTAATAACCTGCAGGTTTCCTTTCCATGGCTCACAGCATTTGGTTCTGTGTCCTCCTCGTGGCCATAGGACTGAGAACTGGTCAGTATGACACAGGACTGTGATATATACCTGACTTCTTGTCATCTCAGCTTGAAGGCGCTTTACAGGAAAGGTGGCACGCTTCCAAAGAAATATCTCCTTCCTCCACTGGCTGGGTGTCAGCATATGTCATCAACAGCAATAGCATCACAAATGCCTTCCATACCTGCAAAGTGTTCTTTATGACTCTTAGAGCACTTCCCAGGACCATAGCCGGTATCTAGCGAGACTATTAACTTTTTTCCGGGACACCACCATTTCAGGAGCAAATGGCCATCGTGGACATTACGACTCAACCTCGCACATCTAAAATGCTACAAGTGTGCCATGTAATCCAAGGACTGAGATAGCCACTTGTATAGCAGTGACGATGGAAAAGATTCAAACCCACTCATCAAACATTCAGGGAAGATCGTGAATAGTTACCCACATCTGGGTACTTTTCACCTCGCCCCAAAACAGGCTCCTCTCCAGGTTCATCTCCCACCAGCGGGAATGAAACCTCTAATTCCCCAGCAATGCTCACTGGAACCAAAAGGCTTACTTTGCACATTCCAAGTTTAGCCTACTACTTAGGAATAGAAATTTTTAAAAAATTATTTGTAAGCATAAATCTATCGAAAGAGGAATCAGCAAACTTTAAGAAGAGTTCTTCCCAATACCTCGACCTGCTTTATGGATCGCACCCATCACACCAAGAACAGAGAAGTTATAACAAAAGATAC